CTTTTAATTTCTCTATTTTGCTTGTTAATTGATGATTAACTTTTATTAATTCATCTGAAAATTTAAAATTAAGTATAGTAAGTACTCGTAAGTAAGTTCATTTGAGTAAATTTTATAAAAATGTTGAGAGGTTTTTATTTTTGTTTTACCAATAGTATGCGTTAACTTCTGTATCTCTTCCGTTTCTAAAAAAATATAATAATAAATTTAAAAATAATATTTATATGTTACAATGTTAAGTACAAATAAAAAAATTTGAAAACTCTAGATGTGTATTATATGCATATATTAGAAATTTTTGTATTTCAATTTTTATAATATACTAGCCGACCCGACACAGCTTCGCCCGTGATTGGTTGTTTATTTTGCCTTCGGACCATGATATGTAGAAGTTTTTATTCAAATATTATTGTTTGATGTGATCGGCAAGTAAATATAAAAAAACGGTTAATGAAAACGGATTGAAATTTTTCTAGCGTTATAAATGATAAAAATAACTACAGATAAAAAAGAAATAATTTATGGTTGATAAAGAATTTTATTGAAGTTGATGAAGAAAAAAAAAGAAAAAAAAGAATTAAAATAAGAATTTTATAAGACTTCTGAGTATATGATATTTTTTGTTATATTTCCTGTTGAAATTAAAATCATAAGATGATTCGGGTCCCCAGTTCGAGAAAATGCCACGTATAATTGGCCATGTGAAAAGCACTCTGTACGAAGATCTACGCCAACGTACTTGAATGTTTGTCCTTGCGCTTTGTTTATGGTAATGGCAAAAGAAACTTTAACCGAGAATTGAAGCCGTTTGAAAGAAAAAAGGCAAGTCACAGGGAATCATGGGAATTCTTGGAATAAATGCAATTTCTCCTTTCGCTGGCCCTGTAAGAATTATTACGGCTTCTATAATATTATTTCGCAACGATTTTATTTGTAATCTTGTACCGTTACATAACCATTTTCATTTTCTAAAGTTCCATTTCCAATTTTCAACAACTGTGCTGGAAAAATATCGTCCCCTCCGCATAAATAAACTCTCATGTTTGTTCGCAAATAAAGTTTTTCAACATAATTCCATATAGGGGAAGATTTTAAGCAAGCATTAACGACATCAGCTCGAGTACCTTTATCATCATAATTATGTTGCGGAATCTAAATCCTCCTAAATTGTGTAATGGTACACGATTGTCCGTCAAGAAACTGATGAACAATGTAATACAATCAACGATCATCAAGGGCAATTTCAAAGGGGAGGAAGTCCTTATCCCACGAATTCCGACCATTCCAACAGATCTTTCATTTCAGTTTAAGCGGATTCAGTTTCCTGTTAGATTGGCTTTTGCGATGACAATCAATAAATCGCAAGGCCAATCGTTGGAAGTCTGTGGGATCAATTTGAAATTTCCATGTTTTTCGCACGGGCAGCTGTACGTTGCCAGTTCGCGTGTTGGAAAACCGTCTTCGTTGTTTATTTTTGCACCAGAAAACAAAACGAAAAACATTGTTTATCAAAATGCAATATATTGATTTCTGTAACAATTCATTACAATGGAATACTTGAATTTTATTATCAATCTAGACTTTATTTGAAGGTGTTAAGTTAACCGGGTCAACTTAATTAAAAAAAAAAAAAATTAAGCAAAACAACGTTTGCCTGGTCAGCTAGTTATTTATACTATTTTTATATTTTTATCTGCTAGAGGGCGCCACCGGTCTAACTCAGTTTTTGTCTCTAAATCTCTAACTCACAGGAGTTAGGTCCATAATTTATGCTATAAACCCGCTCCTCGACATTCTCTATCATTTAAAAAAAATTTCAGCCAAATCGGTTCAGTAGTTTTCTCGGTTAGTGCGGTCTAAGAAAAACCCTTACAATTTTATATATAGTATAGATTATATTTTTATGTCATATAATAAAAATTTAAAAATATTAACCCAATAATTTCATCGATTGACACTCTGTGAGGACATTTTTTTTTCTTATTTACCTATTTCTTCTTCTAAAAAACTACAATACAAATTGATACGTTCTATAACCGTTAAGTTGCGGTGTTGGTGATATATAAATATACAATTGTTTATATAAGATGAGATAAGATCCTAAAGTCATATCAAGGGTGTAAAATCATGGATAACAAGAAAATTTCTATGTGTTAACTTTTATTTAACACAACTTTTTACCTAGCGTGGCTGTTTCTCTGACTATATCTACAGGTTTAAGATATCGAATAGTCACCATTGCCATGACTTCAACGCCCTAATTTATGGTATCGAACATTCACTATTCCTATTTGATATATTATGTAAGATAAAAAAATAATATTAGAAGGCAATTTAGAATTTGAACTATAATGCCCGAACATTTAGTTGTATATATATTTCAATGTCGTGATAAATGGAATGACATCATAAAGGGCATATCCGTATTCGACCGAAAATGTATATTTCTCTTTTCAGCTGTTCACTTTTCGACCAAATTTAAAGTAGGTCCAGGGGCGTGCCTAGAAATTTTTTTCGGGGGGGGGGTTCAATATTTTTACTAACACGTACCTATTTTAAGAGTATAAGTGTATTTATTTTACTAGATAATAGATATTAATTGGCCATATATACAATATTCAAACAACATACATATGTCAGATCGAGTCATATTATTCAATAGTAATATTAAAAAAAATAATAATAATAATACATAATAATTTATAATACATTAAAATACATTTTAAATAATTTTTCGATATATATATATATAATTAGTTATTAGATAATATAAAAAAAAATCCTTGTCTTCGAGGAATTAAAGCGAACCTTCTCACCACTTCATTAGGATCAACGTTAATTTCTTTTTGAATTGAAAGAAGAGCTAACCCAGTTAACCGATCTTCGCCAGTTGTGTTGCGCAGATATGTTTTGAGACGCCGTAAAGTAGAAAAGGTTCTTTCTGCAGTTGCCGTAGACACGGGTAAAGTTGCTAATATTTCCAACAGTTTTCTTATATTTGGGAAAAATCTTTCATCACATTCTAATAAAGACTCTACTGCATTTGAAGGTTTTTTTTCAATGTTATCTTTTAACCATTTTAATTTCCATGTGGAGAATTCTTCATTAAATACTGTAGAATCTGGCAATAAACTTTCATAAAAGATTATAGTATCTTTTGATAGATCTAGTGAATTTACATTAATACGACTTGGAATTAATTTTTCTAAGTCGGTTATTATTTGTTTATGTTTTATAAAACGGTCTGATAAATGAACAATGGTATGGTCTAAAAATGAATTAAATATTGTGCGTCTGTAATACTCTTCAGGCGATTGTGAAGGAGTATTATCCCGGTTTGTTTGTTTTTTTACACAGCGAGGAATTGTCACTTCACTACCTACATCAATAAGTATTTGATTACATTTATCATATATTAATTTAAAATTGGAATCACTGTTTTCACGAAGGTTACTAAGAGCATCAATTATATTTTGAACATGATCACATGCAGCAGTTAAATCGGAATTCACAGTTTGTAAGTTATAACATAGTGGTAATGTATAAGCAAATACTTTTTCTATTATGCTTAAAGTAATAAAAAATTGGCCATTTAATATTACTGAAAGGAGTTGATAAGCTTTATTGGAAGTTTCGGTATTAATTGATTTTTGGAGATCTTCTAACGCATGAATTATTGGAATGTACATTTCTTTAAAGCGATTAATAGCATCGTGTCTTAATATCCATCTCGTTTCACACATCGATAAAAGCTCACATGACCCAAAATAATGAGCTTGTTTCACGATAGCGATTTAAAGACACCACGTCCATGTGAACCAAACCTAATCAAGTTTCACATATAATATATATATATATATATATAATATATATATTACATATATTATATACATTATAATATATTATATATTATAATATTATGTAAAACTTTTATTAACAATTATTTTTATTTTTCGGGGGGGGTTTGAACACCCAACCCCCCCCCCCCCCCCTGGGCACGCCCCTGAGTAGGTCGATTCCCTTTTCGACTAACACAAAATTTCATAAATATATGTAAAAAAAATTAATAATTGGTTTATAATTTTTGTAAGTTTGGGGCAATTATATAATTATATTATTTTGAAAATTATTAAAAGTATAAAATTCATAAAATGTTGTAAAATGAAATGTAGACAATTATTTAAAATATAAGAATATCTATAATATATTAACATTATTTTTATGTTAAAAATATACTTTTTTTTTTTAAATTTAATTAAACAGAACATTTTTTTTTTTTTTAACTATAAATACTAATTATATTAAATTATATTCAATGAACATTACCATTTTCCACAACTTGATCTTTCGGGTTTACTGCATCTTCCGAGTCCTTTGTATGAAAAAATACAAACGTAATTATTATTTTATAAAGGTTTATCTAAAGTGTATATATTTGCTAGTAATATCAATATTATTATTATTTTCTCCCGATGATTAAATTTCCTCGATATCATTTTTTCGCGTCTTGTGTCTTGTCTATTGCCAATATATTCACGAGAAATTGAAGACCCCGGTGCAATAACCAGATACGTCCTCATTTTTTCAAAATTCATGTTTTGATATAGAAATAACTTCCCACTGTATGTTCTATTTACACAGCCGAAGCATTATCCATATATAAAGCATTACAAAATATAATCATAAATAAAGAAACGTCACACAATAAATATTTAATTCTTAGTGACTCGCTTAGCAGCTTAACTGGCATTAATAACTTTACAAATCCATCAGATATATCTAAACTTATCCAAGAAAAAACCTATGAAGTAAGTCAAAAAGGAATAGAAATAGCCTTCTTATGGATACCTGGACACTGTGGAATTGATGGAAATGAATTGGCAGATCAAGAAGCATCTAAAGCAGCCTCATCTACTGACACTCATATGCTAAATTTTAGTACTTATAAAGATTCTAAAAAACTTATACAGATGACCCTATTTCATAAATGGCAAAATCACTGGTCAAAACAAAACACCAAATTAAACACAATAAAAAATAATATCCAAGTATGGAGAAACCCCGGTTTAAAGAGGAAAGACGAAACTATTATAAATCGTCTCCGTATTGGGCATACCTTCGCAACACACAACCACCTCATGGCTAGAAAAGACCCTCCCATATGCGAAACATGCGGAGTGGTGGTCACTGTCAAACATATAATCATTGATTGTTCCATGTACGTAGACTCAAGATCCAAACACTCCATTCCATATCAACTTAGTGAAGCCTTACAGCCAGACCTTCAATCAAATATCAACATAATCAACTTCTTAAAGGAAATCAAACTGTACAACCTAATTTAAGAATTTTTATATCAATTGTAAAACCTTAAAAATAAAATAAAAAAAAAAATAATGTATTACTATAACTAATGGCCACGTAGCCGATGTTTCTTTTTGTTCAATAAAAAAAAAAAAAAAAAAAAATCAGAAAAAAATTCTCTATCGATCGGTGCAAAAACCGAATACGTCCAACGAATAGTATTGAAATAAAAATGATACAACTGATTTTTAAATTTCTGTTGGGTGCAATAACCAGGTATGTCTGGATGTATCCGTTGATACAGTATATACTATATATCCATTTTTTTTTTTCATTGGGCGCAAAAACCAAATACGTCCGGACGTAACTGGTTATTGCTATCAACACTTCTATTCAAATTTTATTATTCTATCCATCGCAATAACCAAGTATAAAGACTTAGTTTTTTTGATGTAGTATAAAAATAAAAATATATTTTAATGAAATAAAATTATTTTATTATAATAATATACTTTATTTTTATCCTTTTTGGTGATAAATAAGTATTTTTGTAATGGTACCACTATTTTTAATCAATATGAATCTAGTTATACTATCCACAAAATAAATCAGAATTCTTATTATTAATAAATAATAATTATTACTTATTAATATTTTTCAAATAATTAGGTACCTACAACTGATGTTTTATCCTAAAATTAAATTATATTTTATTTTTATAAACAATATGAGTGATAGTTCTTTAAGTGTATTCGATGACACGGATTTTGATCCAGATTTTATTAACGATGGAATGAGGACTGATTCCAGTTTATCAGTGTCTGATTTTGATGAGGAAATCTATAGAAAACTAATTGAAAATGATCAAAAGGCTAATGACAATAATAATTCAAATAAATGCACATTTTCAAATATTAATAAATAAGTTACCTCTTATAATATATTAGTTTATGACAGTGATGGTAATAATAACAATAATTATCATTCTAATGGTTTTGAACAAAACCATAATATTCCATCTACTTCTTTATGTGTAATAGAACCATCTAACACTGATGAAGAAGATAATATAGTTGATAGTGAAAGAAAAGGTAAGAAGAGGCGACGAAGACTAAGTCTATGGAATAGGAATAAAGCCAAAACCAGTAAAGCTTTTGGTTTAGAATACACAAGTAGAAGTGGAAAAGTGGTTGGTACCAGGAAACCAAGTAGGTCTTGTACATGTAAAAATAAATGTTTTTCTAAAGTATCCGAAGGTGACAGGGCTAGTCTTTTGAATATTTTCAATAATATTGGAGAAAAAAAAAAACAAGATACATATTTATGTGGTTTAATTCAAGTAAAAGATATTGTGCGTTGTAGACCTAGAACTGGTGTTAAAAAACCTAAATCCGCTACTAATAAGTTTATTTTGAAAATTAATTGTATGGAATATAATGTTTGTAAAAGAGCTTTTATATATTATGTATATGGCATAACAATGGCAAGAGTAGATAGATTAGTGTATTGTAATAAATCAAATAATCCTAGTCTTAAGGATTTAAGGGGAAAACATTCTAACCGCTCAAATAAAATCCCAGACAACATTTTAAAGCAACTCGATGACCATATTAAAAGCTTCCCAAATCATCAAAGTCACTACAGTAGAGAATCAAATGGAAACGTTACTTACCTATCACCAGATTTAAATAAAAAAATCATGCATAACCTTTATTTGGAAAAATATGAACCAGAAACTTACAAAAAAATACAAGATGGAGAAACTAATATAGTACCGATCGTATCCTATGATTTTTTTAGTCGCTACTTTTCTTTGAACTATAATATGTCTTTTGGTCATCCAAAGACAGATACTTGTCAGTTGTGTGACCTACTTAAAAATCAAATTAATTTTGAAACTGATGAAGTAAAAAAGTCAAAATTAATTAGTGAAAAAGAATTTTATATTGAAAAAGCTGAACTATTTTATGAAGATTTAAAAAAATATCAAGCCATGTCCAAAGTGATGGAAAATAAATGTGAGGTGTTGTCTTTTGATTATCAACAGAATATGCCTCTATTACATGTCCCAGCTGGTGATGTGTTTTATAAACGTCAACTTTGGGTGTATAACTTCTGTATTTTTTCGGGTAGAACTGGGAAATCTTATTTTTATATGTATAATAAAGTAGTGTCTAAAAAAGGCAAAAATGAAGTAATAAGCTTCATAAACCACTTTTTTATCAATTACTTGGATCGAGGAGTTGATACAGTTTATATTTTTTCTGATAATTGCAGTGCCCAGAACAAAAATCATTGCTTAGTTCAATATTTATATAGTGTGGCAAAAAAAAAAGGAATATGGAATTTTAACAATCCAGAACCAGGACACAGTTTCCTACCGTGTGATAGGAATTTTGGACATATTGAAAAACAAAAGAGGCGGCAGGAAAGAGTATTTTTGCCTGTGACGTATCAAAATATTGTTTCCAAGACTTGTAAAAAGTTTTTTGTAATAAATGTTACTCAGGATATTATTTTGAACTACTCTGATCATTTTAAACAAAAATTCAAAGCGCAAACTAAATTAATCTTAATGTTGTACAGATGTATGATTTATTCATTAGAAGGATTATTAGTCAGTACAGCAGCAAATACTAATTTAACAGGTAACCATATAACTTTAGAAAAACCTTCCGCTACACTTGATTTACCAGATAAACTTATAAAAACTTTATAACAAAATATTGCCTATAAAACCAGATAAACTAAGAGACGTTCAAGACCTAGTCTCCAAATATGTATACCACCTGATTGTCTTCATTTTTATTCATTAATAGTTACTTTTGAAAATGCTGATGAAGATGAGAAATAAATAAACCTAACAGCTAACTTAACCTAAAGATTTATACTTGACAAGAAATCTAGTAATTTATTCACTATTAATATATTTATATATATTGTTTTAATATTATTTTGTTATGTTTATAATAATTTATAATATTACTAAAAGTTTTAGTTTTAAAGTAACTTAATGTGATTATATCAATATTTTAAGACTGATCAAGAGATTCTTTTTTTATTATTAACTAAAAATAATAAAATGTTATTTAATATTTCTTATAATGTTATACTCGACAAGAAGTCACTATTAATATTTATGTTTTTTAAAAAAAATATATATTCTGTTATGTTTATAATAATATTACAAACCTATTGTTAAAAGTTTTAGTTGTATAATGACTAAGTGATAACTATGTAACTATACAATATATTTTTTCAACATTCCTTATAACTTTTAATATAACTTGTAATAATGAATTCATATGATAAAATATTATAATAATGCATACACTTATTTTGCCATTTTGTAGGGACCTATACTAGGTTTATTAAAGGGGAGTATGTTTAATAACCTAATAGGGTGGTTTATATTACTCTAATGGCATAATTTCTAGTTAAC